ATAGATAGATAGATAGATAGATAGATAGATAGATAGATAGATAGATAGATAGATAGATAGATAGATAGATAGATAAAATAGTTTTTCTTATCAGTACCTGATTCTTTTTCCTGGGGAAACCAGTGACCCTCTTCCCAAAGTATAAATCCCAAGTTTCTATATACAGACACAGAGACATATTCCACTGTATTTTTATATGTCAGCTAAATAAAATAAATAAAAAATAAAAAGCTAAATAAAACAGATAAAATGGATGTTCTTTATCATTGTACTATGAATGGATCTTAATTTAAATCTTATCTTCCATATTTCCAAAACATGCTGTAAGTAGTACATGCTAAAGTTGCTGTTGAGTCATAAAATTCAGTAAATCTTTGTGTAAGCAGATTTGAGTTATGACACAGACCCTTTGCAGCCACCCACAGTTCATTGCGGGGTTTAGAACGCCCTTAAAAATCTGTTTCCAATTGTATGGAAAACCTTTGAAATTTGGCATGGCTTATTGAAACACATTTTTTTTAAAAACCCTCAGTCTCCTATTTGGATTGCAGCTGCAGCTGCTTTTTAAACTGCTTTGGGAGAGTTAGTGACCAACATTCAGAACAGAAAGAAGCACTAGGACTTTTTGAGACAACAAGAAGCATGAAGGTGTGTAAAACAAAAAGAAAACTTGAGTATTGGAATCTGGGCAATTTAAACTGTGTCTGGTGCTCCGCTGTGGAGAAATGCTTGATGCATAAGCATACTCAAGCAAGGACGGAAAAGTTGAAAGCAAACTTCAAGATTTCTGTAGTTGGCAGCACTTAACTAAAATTATTGCAGAAATGTTGTAACCACAGAAGGAAGCGAATGAACGATGTGAAAATTTGGGCTCGTTTCTTTCCTACAGGTTCAGCTGAAAATCCTAGTTGCAGTGATCTCCTGCGTTTTGCTCTCCTTGTTAATTCTATGCATTGTGTTAATTCCTGCAAAAGGTATGTTAACTTTGGAGGGGTGGGGTGACGAGAGTCAAATATTTTCTTCATTTTGCATCATTAGACGTATTTGCAGAGAATTTTCTTTAATGGAATTTAGGATGTGTGCATGATAAACTATTTTACCAACAGCCAAATTTGGACAGCATTTGTACACACACTACCCCATTTCCCTCCCCTTTAAGCTGCAGCCACTGTATTTAGTGGTATTTGCGCAGACGTTTGTATCTCTGCAAAATTGTTACTCTGATTAAATTTAGAAATACTGGACAGACATGTCTGTATCCAAGTAAAAGAGAAATATTTGTAGCTATCAATGCATAAGGATCTTTTCAAATGATATATTTACCTGCATTTACTTTGAAGTGCGGGGAAGCCGAGATCTTTCAACCAAGTTGCAAACTCTGTTGTAAACAGCCTTGTTTCGTGCATTGTTTTCGGTTGGGCACAATAGATCTGCTTTATAAGTAGTCCTCGACTTACAACCACAATTGAGCCCCCGATTTCTGTTGCTAAGTTGTTAAGTAAGTTTTAGCCTATTTTATCACCTCCCACAGTTCTTAAATATTAAGTTGAATCATTGCAGTTGTGAAGTTAGTAATATGTTTCCCAAGTGAACATGGCTGCCCCTTTGGCTTTGCTTGGCAGGAGATTACAAACGGTGATACTAAAACCATCATACATATCAACCAGTTGCCAAGCATCTGAATTTTGATCATGGGGATGCTGCAATGGTTGTTAAGTGGGGGAAATGATCATAGGTCACTTTTTTCAGTGCCGTTGTAACTTCGAATGGTGGCTATACAAAGAATTGCAAGTTGAGAACTACCTGTAATATGCAAGTTCTAGAGTGTTAATATGGCTCACCTTTCTTACCTACCATTTTACTTTACATACACTTCAGGTTGCCTTCCTCGTACAGATCCGAGCCAAATCATTGGGTACCTGGGATCATCCCTCTTTTTCAAAAGTTCAGAAAACAGTTCATTTCTCCCATGAAGACTTGAGAGCCTTAAAAATGGAAGTTAGAACAACTTACTAAGGAAGGATGCATGTACATACACTATACAGATGCCTTTACTATTTAAAATTATGCTATATTATGATAAGCAGTATACAGTTTCTAGTAGGGGGAATAACCCTCTTCTGGTAGTTCTAGATTTATGTATAATAAAGGTAAAGGTTCCTCTTACACATATGTGCTAGTTGTTCCGACTCTAGGGGGTGGTGCTCATCTCCATTTCAAAGCCAAAGAGCCAGTGCTGTCTCTGTGATCATGTGGCTGGCATGACTAAATGCCAAAGGTGCACGTAACACTGTTACCTTCCCACCAAAGGTGGTTCCTATTTTTCTACTTGCATTTTTACATGCTTTCGAACTGCTAGGATGGCAGAATCTGGGACAAGAAACGGGAGTTTACTCCGTTACCTGGCACTAGGGATTCGAACTGCCGAACTGCTGACCTTTCTGATCGACAAGCTCAGCGTCTTAGCCACTGAGCCATCATGTCCCCCTATATATAATATAGAGACTTAAACCTCCTCTGCTATCCTGGTGTCTGTTTGAACGAAATTAATGTTGTCTGAGAAGAAGCATTAAGTGCTACTTTGAACAGTTCTATCAGACTCTGGTTAATCTTTTCTCATGGCCAAGAGGCTCCATGTGTTAAACCCTTAATTGATGACTCTGGAATCTGGAACCTTTGGCAGGCATGCAAAGCCCATCTGCCAACTCACTACATATTTCTTTGCTGAGACTGAGCTAAGAAGTATTTAAGTGGTAACAATTGTGCATGCTGTCTCTTTCTGTTAATTGCAGACAGTTAATACTAATATTTCAATCCTGAAGTGGCCACAACTAAAAATGATTGACTCTCATCAGTGGATTTAGGACTTGAATCTTTTTTTTACTCCCATTGTTTAATCCTGGAACTCATGATACGAGAAGACAAAGGTAACATCTGAGCATGTTGAAAATACATGTTTTTACAGCCTCCTCTTTCATTGATACGAAACGTAGAGAATGAGGAAGTAGAGCAGAGGACCAAGTCAAGAGGTTTTGATTTAGCTTTTTCCTTTAGTTATACTGGGCCAATTAGTCCCACTGACATAGTGGCAGGAAATTCAGGAGTTTATCATTTCCGTTCATCTGCAGAGCCCCATTTCGAGGAAGGCTGTTCTAACTGAAGTTTACAAAAACGTAAGCCAATGTAAAGCTTTTCTTAGCCAAGCTGGTCTTTTTTTGACAAATAAAACTGAGTGATAGTAAACAGATCTAGTTTCAAGACTCAGGCATGGTCCATAGTACTATGGTAGATACTAGAGGTTGCTGCCAAAATCATCACAATTTCTTCGCTGTGTTACTATACAGTTTGTTTTCAATGTAGAACATATTGTAAACATGCAATTTACATGACATCTGTCTGACATAAGAGCTAGGTCAATGGATAGCAGAAATACTCCATTCACCTTTTTCCTACAATGGACTTAGGTTACAGCAAAACAAAATAATTTCAAGTAATGAGCACAATCCTTAGTTGAATAGATATTTCTTAGAACTGCGGAAGACTGCATAGACAAGTCATACAACCTTGATTAAAGGTTAATACAAAACATGCAATTAACAGAAGATGTTTTACGTTTAAAGATGTTATATGAACACATAATTAATAAGGGAATTTCTTTGTATGGAGTATTTACAGCAAATGAAGAACTGATAACAAAACCATAATTTTATGCAATGGAAATGTCTTTTTTTAAATAAAAAACAACAACACCAAATGTACTATATAAGCTTTTAATTTTATTTTTTTTAAGTCACTGGACTTCTACTGGAAGAAGTAGTTTTTTAAAAAAAACCTTCATCTTCTACATTTCTGCCAGCTAAGTATTTGAACACAGAACACAGAATAACAGAATTGGAAGGACTTTGGAGGTCTTCTAGTCCAATCCCCGGCTCAAGACCCTATACCACTTCAGACAAATGGCTGTCCAGTCTTCTTCTTAAAAACCTCCAGTGTTGGAGCACCCACTACTTCTGAAGGCAAACCCTTCCATTAGTTAATTGGATATGTCTAGTCTAGTAAAAAGAAAGACAAAGTTAGGAAATTCCTCCTTAGTTCTAGGTTACTTCTCTCCTTACATAGTTACATAGTTGCTTCTCTCCTTACATAGTTTCCATACATTGTTTCTTGTCTTGCCTCTGGTATTTGGAAAATAGGTTGATCCCCTCTTCTCTGTGGCAGTCCTTCAAATATTGAAACACTGCTATCATGTGTCCCCTGGTCCTTCTTTTCAGTAGACTTGACATACCAAATTCCTGCAACTCTTCATATATTTTAGCTTCCAGACCCATAATCATCTTTGTTGCTCTTCTCAACATCTTTATTTATATTGTGGTAAACAAAACTGGATACAATATTCCAACTGTGGTTTTCCCAAGGCTTTATAAAGCAGTACTAATACTTCACATGATCTTGATTCTGTCCCTCTACTAATGTAGCCTAAAGTGGCGTGGCTTTTTTGACTGCTATAGCATACTGTTGGCTCACATTTAAGTGACTGTCCAGTAAGACTCCAAGATCCATCTCACAATTACTACTATTGAGCTATTTTATACCTTGTACATTTGGTTTTTCTTGCCTAAATGTGAAACCTTACCTTTCTCTAAATTGAATTTCATTTTGTTAGATGGGGCCCAGTTTTCGAGTCTGTTGAGATCTATTTATACCTTAAGCCTATCTTCTGGTGTGTTGGCTATTTCTGCCAGTTTAGTATCACCTGAAAGTTTGATGTGTTCCCCTTCTATTCCTTCATCTAAATCATTTAGTAAGATATTGAAGAGTATTGGACCTAAAATGGAAATTTGTGGTATCCCACTGCTTACGTCCCTCCATGTAGATGTAGTTCCATTAATGACTACATGTTGAGTATGGTTTCTCAGCAAGTTACAAATCCATTCTTTACTGAAATTCAAGTATGCTATGTCCTCAGTATTTTACTAAATTAGTAAATTTAGTAACTTTGTCAAAAAATGAAATAAGATTTGTTTGGCATGATCTGTTTTTGGTAATAACTTTGCTTGCTTCTAGGTGTTTGCAGATTTGTTGATTGATTATCTTTTTCAGTATCTTTCCACGTATTGATGACAGGCTGAGTGGTCTGTAATTTCCTGGCTCTGTCCCCCCCACCACTTTTTTTTGAAGATTGGGACCACATTAGCTTTTTTCCAGTCTTCAGGTAGTTCCCTGGTGTTCCAAGAACTTTGAAAAATATGGTTCAATGGTTCCCAAATCACATCTGCCAGTTCCTTTGACTCTGATTTCAATCCATCTAGAGAAGACAGATGTTCCCTTATCTTTTTCTTGCTTATTTTAATTTGTATTCTTAATCTTTCTTTTCCAGTTCTGTTTTTGATAAATTGAGTTGTGTTTTCATTTTGGGTGAAGACACATCAAAAAATTAATCAAGCAGTTCTCTCCAGTGCCTATTATTTCCTTGGCAGCTTCTCCCATTAGTGGACTGATTGTTTCCTTGACTTTTTTTGTTTTTTATGCGTTGAAAGAAACTTTTTTCATTATTTTTCACATTTGTTGCAAGTCTTACTTTGTTCTGAGCCTTAGTTTTCCTGATTTCATTTTTGCAGATTCAGGCTATTTGTTGGTTGGCTTCAGTTATGTGTCCCTCTTTCCATTTTTTGTGAGTATCTGTTTTCTTGTTCAGTTTGTCAGGGAGTCTTGGTGTAACCATGCTGATTTCTGATTTCCTGTTTTTCTTTTCAGTGGTATTGACCTGGACTGGGCTTTTATAATTATATTTTTTAGAGTTTTCCAAGCTTTTTGAGTTGTTTTTCCCCTTTAAGATTTTCATCCATGGACTCTTTCCCAAGCTCTCTCTGAGATTATTAAAATCAGATCTTTTAAAGTTTAAGACACTAGTTTGATTATGTTCTATGTGTCTTATATTGACAATCATCAATATGCTTGTATCTGCATTATATTG